TAAATATAAATATATATATATATATATACATATATATATATATATATATATATATATATATAACATTTGAATTTATCAAGTCGAGGGGTTAGTTTCTTCTTTTCTAGGAGGTCGTTATAATAGTTATGATGGAGGAGCAGCCTACCCTCCATTAAGAAGGTGTGAGATGAGTGGCATTTCTAGTTACGAAGTTATAACATTGATTATGAATAGATATATGCTCGTCCATCCAGATACTTAGATTAATCTGCTTGTGATTTCACCATCAAATGCATGACACATAATTGATTAAAGTTAATCTCCATCACTAGTTCTACCGTTGGAAATTGAACATCAACCTCACACAATTTTATAAAACATAATACAAGCACAAACATGTAGCACATCTAGCCAAACATACAAGAAACTCGAAAGGTATCCACCCATCTCATGCAATTAACAATAACATAAAGGCATGATTATCAAAGCAATTGTTTCATCATAGATCTAAGAAATGTTTTTATATTCATCCGAGTACACTCGAAATACACTGTAAAATAAATCTAATCTGCGTATAACTAGTAAAGTTGATGTTCAATTTAAGAAATGTTTTTACATTATTCTGAGTAAACTCTAAGAAATGTTTTTATATTCATCTGAGTACACACGAAATACACTCAAAATACATTGACAACTACCTTAGCCAGATATACCCGAACTCTAAAAGATTGTTGGCATAAATGAGATGTTTCTGAGTTGTTTACCCTTAATTACCCCTCGATTCATTAACCCTAAAGTAAAAGTGAAAGAAGAAGGCACGCCTCTAGGTCACGTAAGAGTCAACTCAGTTGCCAAGAAAGTTAAGCGCCACCAAATAGTAGTCATTAATTAATGAATACCAAGGAAACTTCATCCGAGTATGGAATCAGTCTTCACGATGACTCCCTGCAATAGTCTTCTGCCCTTTTGGAAATGAAAAATCTAATAGAATTGTGGTAATTTATGATCAGCATCAAATCAATGGCCCTTCCTCTCGGTCCTCCAATCCTTGTCCGCTTCTCCAACGACTGAAGACCCACCCAACCATATCTGCTCAACCAGTTCGGAGAACTCTCTAACAACAACACCAAAACCTCAAATCTCAATCATCAATTCTCCATTCTCTCTTCCAAATCCTCAGCTTTTTGGCCACCGGAGAGACGGCGCTCACGAAACCGTACATTATATGGGGAATGGTACAGTGCACGACCGATCTCTCGGTAGGCGACTGCTTGCAAGGGCGGTAGAGGAGATCAACGAAGATCTGCTGAACGGAAAGAGAGGAAGAAGGTCGTTGGCCTTTGGTGCTTTATGATATATGAGTTCTATATGTCTTACATCGGCATGCCCATGCTTATGTTTTCTTCAGATCAGCGGTCGTCATCACCGCATCCTGCAAATGTGTTAGCGCCAAATCCTAGCTAGTAGGATTGGTCTGAAAAATTGTTTGTCCGGAGTGTTGAGAAATTAGGGTGAAAAAAAAGGAATCGACACAAATCCAGAAGAACACACTATATATATATATAACCATATAATACAATATGTAATTACTTAAATTATCCTTGCATCAAACCGCGGGGTGGAACACACAAAGATTTACGAGGTTCAGCAAAGATGCATATATCATCGAGTGCAGAGCGGTGACTTCCTTTTCAATATTCAGAAAAAAGTATAGAATCCCAGATTCATGATCTCAGAGAGGTAGAGAATCACCTAGAGTTACAAACAGAATATATATATATATATATATGCCATATATATATATATATATATATATATATATATTACAATATGTAATTAATTAAATTATCCTTGTATCAAACCGCGGGGTGTTGCCCACGCACCCCCAACCCACATAATGAAACTCCCCCGATTGGACAGATCCTTCCACTCCACTCTGCTCGTGGGCTCCGCTTCGCTTCAGCATCTGTCCCATTTATGGTATATGAGTCATACCTAACACTAAGTAATTCTACGTGCAAAATTCTAATAATATGTCGCTATGTGCTACATTACGGAGGTTATTGAAGTCAAATAACAGAGGTTATTAGAGGGTCATTTTGGGGTTATTATTGGGTTATTGCGGTGAGTTATTGAAGTGAAATCGCACAAGTTATTGGTGGGTTATTGCGGGGTTATTGTGAGGTTATTGTAGTGAGTTTTTAAAGTGAAATTGTAGAGGTTTTTGGTGTGTTATTTGAGGGTAATTGAGGGGTTATTTCGAAGTTTATTGCAGGGGTTTATTGAAGTGAAACCGCGAAGGTTATTGTGGGGGTTATTGAATTGGGTGGTTATTGTGGGGTTATTGTAGTGTATTTTGAAGTATAATCGCAAATGTTATTGGTGGATTATTTGAGAGTTATTGGGGGGTTATTGTGAGGTTATTGTAAAGGATTATTGAAGTGAAATATTGGAGGTTTTTCGGGGGTTATTTGGGAGTTATTGGTGGGTTATTACGATTAGTGAAGTGGAATAACCTCTGCGGTTCCACTCCATTAACCTCCTCGGTTCCACTTTAATATTTTTTTAGTTGGGCCCGATATAGCACACATGACATCATATTGCTAGAATTCAGACAAAAAGTTTTCTTCTCATGAAGATATTGCTGGGTTAATAATAATAATAATAATAATAATAATAATAATAATTTTAATTATTTAAATGTATTTAATAGGTTTGACAATAGATAGATATTATTAAATTTTAATATTTTTTAAATTACTTATACCTTTTTATATTTTATTGATGATGAATTGCACGATCATTATTTAATGTCGTTGCACACATTTAAATGAAGGGTTCGACGTCTCCAAAATGAAACCTGTATTGAACGAAACTTCGTTTCCCATGAACGATGCCAGGCTGATTCGTCTCAAAAGGTCCACGGTGACATAGTAATGAATTATCGTCTTAGAATTGCACGAAAACCTATAAAATACTCAGATAATTAAAGAAAAGTAAGTAAGAAAAGATGTCTCAATTTTTATGTGGAGAGCCCTGAAATTTGAAAAAATTCATAAGGCCACGCACGATTGATATAATGCACAATGAATAGTGAGTACGCAGATCTACACTTCTCGCGAATTAAGGAAGGTATAGTTACACAATTGATTATTATAAATGTGCAATAGTAGTTCATTGATAATACTCATAGTCTAGTTATAATGAATGTTGTTCTCGGTAATCATTGGTGGCAAGGGTAGTTATCGATTGCTATGTCGGCAGTAATCCACTATGAATATTTTAGATAGTGGTTGTAGCACTAGTTTGTCGTATATGCCATTGTTGAAAATCATAGTAATAGTTGGTCATGTGGGCTGCAGATGATTGCTTCATGAGTATCGATTCACCACAGGGGTCATAGTAGGAAGCTGTAGAAGTTGTGAGTCACATAGGTCATAGTTGGTCGCGTAGGCTTTAGTGGTGAGCTGCAGAAGTTTTGAGCAACATAGGTCGTAGTTGGTCGCTAGTGGTAAGCTGCAATGATGTCAGTATGCCACATAGATTTTATTTGGGAGCTGCACGAGCTGTACATCATGTAGTCCATAGTTGGTCACTTAGACCATAGTGGTGAGTTGTGATGATATCCATTTGATGTAGATGCAAGCCAGGAGTTACATAAGATTTGGACAACGTAGGCCACAAGGGCTAGAGTCGGGAACTTCATGATTTGTGGATCACATAGGTTCTAGTTGTTAATGTAGGTCGTAGTGATGAGTTGTGATGACATCCATAGGTTGTAAGGCTAGACTCGGGAGTTACATAGGTCTTGGACCACTTAGGTTGTAGTTAGACATTTATGCAATAATGGTGAGCTATGATGATGCTTGTAAGCGTGGAGGTCGGAGTCCGGATCTTTATGAGTTGTAGTTCGTAGTTACTCATGTAGGACATAATGGTGAGCTATAATGATGTACGTAGGCTACATGGGCTGAAGTTGGAAGCTATATGAGTTTTCAGCCACATAAGCCTTAGTTGATCATGTAGGTTGTAGTGGTGAGTTGAGATGTCGTCCGTAAGCTACAGAGGCTGGAGTAGGAAGCTGCTTGAGCTGTAAGCCACGTAAGTCATATTTGTGAGATGTGATGATCTCTGCATGTTGTTGAGGCCAGAGTTGATACTTACAAGAACTGTGGATCACATA